AGAAGAAAGAAGATAGATAGATAGATAGATAGATAGATAGATAGATAGATAGATAGATAGATGATAGATAGATAGATAGATAGATAGATAGATAGATAGATAGATGATAGATAGATAGATAGATGGAAGAGAGGGATGGATGGATGGATGGAGATAGATGTAGTTGTAGATGTAGATGCTGATGCTTTTCAGAATCAGAATACAGCTGGAAAGGACCTCAGAGGTCTTTTAGTCCAGCCCCCTGCTCAAACATATCAATCAATCAGAATAGAGCTGGAAGCGACCTTGGAGGTCTTCTAGTCCAACTCCCTGCTCAAGCAGGAGACCCTAGACCATTTCAGACCAATGGCTGTCCAGTCTCTTCTTAAAAGCCTCCAGTGATGGAGCACCTACAAGGTCTAGTGGCAAGCTGTTCCAGTGGTTAATTGTTCTCACTGTTAGGATGTTTCTCCTTAGCACCGACAACTTCTGAGTGACATATCTCAGGGGCTGCCCCAAAGAAGAGGCGTGGGTCAACTTATTCTCCAAAGCCCCAGAAGGCAGGACAAGAAACAATGGATGGAAACCAACCAAGTGGAGAAGCAACCTAGAATTAAGGAGAAATTTCCTAATAGTGACAACAATTAACCAGTGGAACAGCTTGCCACTAGAAGTTATGGGTGCTCCCTCACTGGAGGCTTTTAAGACCTAGAAGACCTCCGAAATCCCTTCCAGCTCTAATCTGATTGATTGATGGATGGATTGAAAAGGTCTCCTTCTTGAGCAGGGGGTTGGGCTAGAAGACCTCCAAGGTCCCTTCCATCTCTGTTATTCTATCTTCTATATTCCACATCTTGATTTAATGCTACGAGTGTATCTTCCAGTAGTGAGTCTTTTTTTAAAAAACAAGCTGTGCCTCTCAGAGTTTTTGGCATACATTTTTTTTAAAAAAATATATTATTATATTGCCTGGCATTGGCTCATGCTCTTGAGTGTGTTTTCTCTCTTTTTGGCCAGCACTCCAACAGGTAGAGATCACCAGAGCCTATCTGGCTAAGCAGGCGGATGAGATTTCGCTCCAGCAATCCGACGTTGTCCTTATCCTGAATCAGGAAGAGGGTGAGTGGCTAGAGAAAGATCCCAGTGATGCAGGCAGAATTCATTCATTCCCCTTTTTTTGCAAAAGCCAGAATAATATTTTTTTTATCCGTTATGCAATGCAGGCTGACCTCCTGTTCTAAAACTCACCTTTAAAAGATGAAGGAGTTCAAGTCCACACTTCTCAAGGTTGAGAAAAACTAGATTAGGGGATCGTAGCTTGATAGGTTACATCCTTCGCCCCCTCCAAACCATGATTTAAATGGTTTGTTACATCCTTTAGCAAAAATTCATTTTTTTTTACCTGTTTATGGAGACACTCAGTCCTCCAGGTCATGGTCAAGGTGCTTTTTTAAAGAGGCAACTGGACTTTCTGGTTTGTCTTTGAAGATGGTTTGTTTCTCATCCAAGAACCCAAAGGAGCTTCTTGGATGGGAAGCGAAATATCTTCAAAGAACTACCAAAGAACTGAAGAAGCTTCTGGGATGAGAAGTGAAACCTCTTCAGAGAACAACAAGAAAGTCCAGTTGCCTCTTTAAAAACAAAAACAAAAAAAAACACTTTTGGATGACCTCTTAATCCCTTCTCCATCTTCTCCCAGGCTGGTATCTGGGGGAGCGTCTGCGGGACGGAGAGAAGGGCTGGTTCCCGCAAGCCTGCGCCCAGGAGATCACCAACCGCAACGCTGTCGAACGCAACGTGCAGCGCCTGGAACGGCTGCGCATTGAGACTGATGTGTGACCACAGACGTGCGTCCCGTCTCAACCCGCTTGGATGCCAGAGCACCGGAAGGTATTTCAAGGGCCAGGGAGTTGCAATAATCCAGATATCGGACCGTATCCGGGCCTCCTGGACCGAACCAAGACTCTGGTCTTTATTTTTTATTTTAAATAAATTGGATTGTAGGAGAACCACTGCCTAAAATCCAGCTGGATTGAAAAACTGCAAAGAAGTCAGCGACTGGACGCCGTTGGATTGAATCCTACCCTTTTTATAGATTTTTCTTGTTTTTTAAAAGAAACCCGTGGAACGGAGTAATTTTTACAATGAATTTTTAAGGCTCCTCATGTTTTAATCTGCTCTCTTTTCCCCATAATTCCTCAGGGGTCCCTTTAGTTAATACTAGCCAATAACCCCGCATTGCCCCGGTATTTATTTATCCTAATCCTGTATTTAGACAAGGGAAAACCCTGATTTCAGTGACAATTAATTGGAAGAAATGTAATTTGTAATGTTGGATTTTCCCCCTTACCAGAGAGAGGGCCTCCCCCACCTTTTGGAGTAATGTGAAGCTATTACCATGGCAACTCCACAGCGCTGTACAGTAGAATCCATTTTAAGGCGGTACAGTAGAAGCCATTTGAAGGCCCAACAGGCTGTATGTTTACAGACACACACACCCTGAGGGGGTGTTAGGGGTACACAGTACTTGTTTCCAGAGAGTAAGCAATCTGTGTGCCAAGTTTGGTTGAAATTGCTCGAGGCATTATGCTGGAATACACACACACACAAAAACACACATCCTTTTATATATAGAGAGATTCCCAGATCAGCCTCTGTTTTAAGGGCCCCAAATGTTTAATCTTGTACATAATTCTCCTTTTTTCCCCCTTCCCTCCTCCGTAAACCATTTAATGACTCCAAACTTATACAACTTTCTGTGACTGATTTCTCTTCCCCTTTTTGCTCCGATCCTATGAACTGCCGGCTGAGTTGTGGTATTATTTTTCCTGAATATTCCTGGAATAAAACAAGGGGGGGGATTTGTGGTGTGTTTTTTTTCCACGGGGCACCGCTCTTAATCCCAAATTACCAGCTCAAGCAAACAAATTTTGGTGAAGATCACAGAACCAAAGGGAGTGTTTTAGGTCTCTCTTTCAAAGTGAATGCACAAATTAATATTTTTGGGGGTGTTTGGGACTTAGGCAGTTTTAAGGGCCTCCTGGAATTCTCAGACCTTAGGGATTCATGAGAGGAAATTGGAGTTGGACTAGAAGACCTCCAAGGTCCCTTCCAACTCTGTTAATAATATGTATTCTGTATAACATATAAAGAAAATCAGAACGAAGAGAATTTAGGACCTTATTGAAAGAGCTTAAAAACATTACAGATAATCCTGGATTTCGGACTATTCAAAGTTACAACAACACTGAAAATTCCTGAATTAAACGTAGCAAAAAGTGATTGTTGGAAGCAGACAAGATTGCTCAATTCGGATTCATTCTGGCAGATTAAAAAAAAATTAGCAAGGTAGTTTGGTTCTAACCTGAGTTTTTTTCTTTTTATTAGCAACACTTTCTTTTTATCAGTAAACTTTCCAATTTTTGAAACAGCTCCTCCACCTGCAATGACGCACAATGGCCACGAGATGGCGGGCTATTATTGTTAATGCAAGTTCCCATAGACTTTGAAAACCGCGGTTTTCATGTAATTTGAGGTC